CTAAATCTTTCAAACCACTAGAGAAACTTCAACACGCAGAAAAAAATATATACATTAAAAATACAAAAACTTCAAATAACAACAAACTTATTCGTCGCTGGAATCGGGGAGGCGATGCTCAGGAAGGCTGCGTGTGCTTTTGGAAGTGTGTGGGCGGTTATTACTTCCCGGCTGCCCACACCATGGAAGTTGATTGATTCTTCGGGTAGCTAAAACCGAAAGAGCGTTAGTGTTGTGTGACCACAGAGCCCAGGGGACAACTGCTTCAGGCCAGTCACACACGGCCTGTATGAACAGATCTCTTGGATTGGTTCCGTATTAGTAAATTTACCGCCGTTTACGGACCATCGTAGGGTAACGCAGCATGTACAACTTTTGGGGTCGACATTTTCTACCCCCCCTCTATCTCCAGAGTGCAGAGACAGCATAGGTGGCTGGCATTCTGGTCATCTGAGTGAGGGAAACACCTTACTGCAGTTACATCCCTGTTTCCCTGCAGTACGACTTCGCCCACAGACCCCCAGTATGGTGTGAAAAAAATTCTTACACTAAGCAGGTAATTGCTTTTAGTCTAATCGCTATCCTAACAATCTTCCTGGCATGGTAGAACATTCAGGAACAATAGTTCCAGCCAGTGCAGCTTGTTGGGTCATTGCGATGTGCAAGCTCGACCACCACCACGTCAAGGTAGCAGCTATCGGTCGGGGGGGAGGCGAAATGACACAACGCGCTGGTGAAAGCCAACCTTCGGAAGTCAGTCAGCCAGCCGATGTGTCAGAATGGGGACATGGAATGTCCGTACAGTGTACGAGGCTGGCTGGTAAGACTGACCAGGTAGCCAAAGAAATGCGAAGGTATGACTTAGAAGTACTGTGTATATCTGAGAAAGCAGATGGAATAGATGTGGATTATCAGTAATCTACTCCCGTTTGGTCACCCAGACAACAACCACGAACACAATGAGGGAGTGGAAGCCAGAGCCCTAATGCATTGGGAACCAATTTCATCCTGCAGGATCATGACAACAAGATTCAGCTCAAAAGGCAGAAAGGAAGGTGATAATCATCCAGTGCTACGCACAGTGCTACAAACAACGCGGAACAACAGAAGATGAAGGAAGATTTTTACAGACAACTACAAACGGTGATGGACAACATCTCAAATGGTGACATAAAAATCCTCATGGGCAACGATATGAATGCATCAGGTGGTGTAGTCGAACCTCTATGTGAACTTCATCGACTTTGAAAAGGCCTTCAAGAGCATTGACTACAAGGTGATTTGGAAACTAATTCAACACACTATGGAGTGTAGTGATCTAAATCGTTAGTAACCTCATTCAACTAGAGTTATATGACAGTGTCACATGTCAAGTGGTCCACAACCGACAACTCAGTGAAGCAAGGATGTCTGTCTACTATTAACGATGATATTCCTGATTGTGGTGGACAGGAAAATGTGCTACATCGTGTATCGGGGGGGGGGTCGAGAAGACAGGAATACGTTGGACACATAAGAAGATTCTAGAGGAACTGGATTTTGCAGATGACTTATAGTCTAACTTCATATGAATTCGAAGACTTACACAAGTGAACACCAACAAGTTAGTAGAAGAAGCAGGGTGAGCGAAGATAAAGAAGACAAAAAGTGGGATAAATTTGAAGAAGGTGACCTCTTTCACTCATCCAGTCAGTATCTTTTCAATTACAGGCAGTTGGCAACAATTGTGGACGTGAAAACCAAGACAGGTCTTCATTGCTTTGAATTCAGGGTAGAAATTCGCTTTACTAAGCATAAAAAACATGGTTCAGTTTTTCTATATGCTTCAGAGAATTGGCGTATGCATGACGAACAACATTTCTAACAGGCTGGCTGTAGACTTTCTTCGTCAGCTGCCTTCGTTGGCTCGATACTACAGATCATATGGATAGGGAGGAATGAGTAGCTCCACAAGGAACTGTTGGAACCTAGAACCAATGAAGAACCTATTGGTAAACGCGCTGAGGAGACCGTTGGATGACATCACATCCCAGGCAGGACATAGCTTGAGTAAAACCTAAATGAGCAACAACGAGTGGGGCGTCCGAGGGTGACATGGAGGAGGATGTGGAGGGGGAGGTGAAATCGCTTACGAACAGTCTTAGAGTCAGTTAAGAAGGACTGTAGAGAATAGACCACAGTGGACATGATCCACTTAAAATTCATTTTAGGTGCACGGTTCAAGTCTCAGTAAGGATTATCATTACTGAGATACACCTTCATTGTCTGTAAGGAGAACTCTTCAACTGTCGAACTTCTTGGAATATTTAACGGTTCTCATTCATCTTTGCTTTTCACGGTCAAAGAAGAGTCGAATTCCTCGTTTCACTTCCTTGATGTTAAGCTAGATAGAAGAGAGAATGGAACGCTGTAAAGGTGGTCGATTTACCGAAAGGCAACATTTACAGGGTAGTGCATTAACTTCAACAGTTGGGTACCTTCAGGGAGAAAGCGAAATCTTATTCATTCCTTATACTCCAGAATTCGAAAAAATCTGTTCTACAGAGACAATCGATAGTGAATTGGATAACCTTCGATCAAATCTCCTTAACAATGGTTATCCTACAAGGTTTATTGAACATAAAATCAAGAAAGAATCCGCCCGTAGACAAATCACAGTTCCAAAGAAAAAAACTGTTTATGAGTCTGGCATTCAAAGGTGACACCATTTCGGAATTGATTAAAAATCGTTTGTCTAAATGCATTAAACGTACTTTTCCTGCAGCTGACTTGCAACTAGTTTTTACCAGCCGAAATATGATTGAACAATGCGTCAAGGATAGATTACCGCTTTTGTCCACATCTATGTGTATTTACTCTTTTACCTGCTCTTGTGGAGCCGTTTATATTGGACGTTGTAAGCGTAATCCCCAAAAACGTGTAGCTGAACACTATCCAGTCTGGTTACTGAAAGGTGAACGTAGAACTGCGAAGTCGTCTATTTGTGATCACCTGTTAGAGGCAAGTCATTGAGCCCCACGTGATTAAGAGTAAGAGTAAGTAAGTAAGAGTAAGCGGTGGCCAAACAAAAACATGGCCTCATCAATCCATGAAATCCTTGACAGTTAAACTGAGTCAGGTAGGGAGGGAGATGCAGACTTCCGGGTTGGGGCCCTCGGGACTCTAAGAATCAATGGCTGGAGACAATAGGTGACATGGCTCAAAATCGTTGTCAATGGCGCAGATGTATTCAGTCTCTTTAACCTTCATATTTCTTTCTACCATTACTCATTCTGTTTCAATCTTATACTTATCTAAATTCTATTGATTCTCTTCTCTCCTTTTCCTGTCTACTTTTGTGTGCTATTTGGAACGTGGCAACTCAAACTGCTGCACTTCGGTGCCAAGTTCTATGTTGAATCCAGCAGCAGCAGCAGCCCCACGTGATTCATCCTTCAAGGTTATGTACATGGCAAAATCGAATCGTTTCAAAAGTTTACATTTTCTTCACTTAAGCATAGCCGAAGCTTTAGCTATACATGAACAGAAACCTAAATTATGTGTTCAAAAACGTTTTGTCAAACCCCTTTCTTTACCTTGGTCATAGTAATGTTCTTTCTAGTTTTTATTTTATTTTACCACTTGAATTCTTTCCACTTCACTTCACATCTTCATTCTTATCGTAATCGTACTTCTAATTTATTAAAATTTTTAGACAACACTTGACAATTTAAAAACATTTTTGATATCAATTCACTTATAAAACAATATTTAACAATTTTGTAATTCATCCACTTCAACCCTATCCTTTATAACATTTTAATTATCGTTATTCTTATCATATATATATATATATATATATATATATATATATATATTGACTGAGCAATTATTTAGTGCCACTTAATAACATTTTCTATGACCAACGTGAAGAACCTAGAAGACCTGAATTTCGCAGATGATTTATGTTTGATGTCACACAAAATCGAAGACTTACAAGCGAAAACCGACAAACTGGTCGAAGAAGCAGCAAAGACAGGACTGACTCCAGGTGAACATAGACAAGACGGAGGTTATGAAAATAACCAACCAACCAACAACAACAACAACAACAACAGCAACATACAGCGCCAATCACCATCAACGGGAGGGATTTGAAACAGGTTACTTCATTCACTTATCTAGGTAGGGAGCATTGTCTCAACTACAGGAGGAACGGACGAGGATGTCAAATCGAGAATCGGAAAGGCGAGAAACACATTCATCAACCTGAAACCAATCTGAAAATCTTCGTCACTCAACATCAACAACAAAATTCGGATTTTCAATACAAACGTGAAGTCAATTTTGCTTTACGGATCAGAAACTTGGCGGGTCACAAAGAATATTTCCAGCAGCCTGTTGCAGACCTTTATCAACAACTGTCTTCGCTCCATACTCAAGATGAGATGGCCGGAAAGAATCACCAACAAGAAACTATGGGAACAAACAAAACAAAACAAGAACCAATCGCCCAACAAATATGCAGGAAAAAGTTGAGATGGATTGGACACTCACTGAGGAGGCCGCTGGGTGACATCGCGCGTCAGGCCAATGCTCGAGTGGGACGTCCAAGGGTGACATGGAGATCATGTGAAGAGGAGTTGAAACAGTATGGACTCACATAGAAGCAGGTGAAAAGTACAGCAGAAGCAAGACGGAAGCAAGTGGAGGCGTGCAGATGAAGCCCTATGTTCCACTAAGAACCCAAGGGAACAATAATAATAATATAAAAATAACTTTTTCTGTAATATAAATACGACTGTACAGCTTGAAAATGAAGTCATTGAAAAGAAATTTCTTCGCTGAACAAAACAAAAAGTAAAATGTGTGTTTTTACTTAATATCATTACTGACAAATAGGATGAAAGTAGACATCTTGGAATCACTCACTTCACTCTGCTTGCGAGTCATTACATCAATCAAAGTAATAAATAAAAAGGAATAACAAAGGGAATTTTCACAATCACAGATCAACTTACTTCAGATTCCATGAATTGTATACGTTCTTCATATTCAGCACGTTGTTTAGCACTGAGGATAAGACCACCACCACTGCTACCGTCACCACCACCACCACTGGTCAATGAACTACTGCTTGCCTTTCTACGTCTGCCTAAACTACCTGTCGAGAAGACAGACATAAATGAAGATGGTGTACATGTTGGTGAATTGTTATCATCGGATTTCGCTGATTCTATTGAGGTAGACGTTGTACTACTAGTAGTCGTTGTGGTATTCGACAGTGTAGTAGAAGCTGTCGATGTAGTATTCGGTAGGGTATTTGTAGATGTCGTTGTTGCTGTTGTTGTAGAGTTGGTGGTGACTCCTTCTGAAGGTGTCGAATTCTCGTTAGATAAAGACGATTGTGATTGTAGTTGTTGGCGTTTAGTAGCTTCATCAAAAGACGATTGTAGACTTGATGAAATTTTACGACTTTTATTACTACTACTAGTGACAGAGGTAGCCGATAAACGTGATCGTAAATCTGTTAATTCTTGATCTAATTCTAATAGACGTTTTTGATGCTCTTCAAGTTGTTCACGCTAAAATTATTGATTGAAAAGAAGAGAGAGATAGAAAGTTTCAAAATGACTAACAAGGCATATAAATTAATAGTCCTTACACCAAAATAAGCTGATCGCTTCAATAATTTCGTGTGATTGGGCTTGCATATCTCAATGACACAAAGAACTACACTGGTTGGAATAAGTATTTCCTCACGCGTCCTATCATGCCATAAAGCTATTTTTAGATAGAAGTTCAAAGTTTGAAAGCAAAGTCACGTTGTTGGTGAATACGGCGATAACAGCAGATGTCCAACAAGCTACCCTATGATGTCGTCTCTCTTCTCTCTAAAGCGTTAGGAGGTTGGAAAAAACTCAACCTCAAGAAGTTCTACAGCTCAAAGTTAATCTGAGTACGTTCATCATAGGTGTCTGCATTCGATCTCCCGTGTTAAGTGGTATACTAGGATGGGTAATATTGGAGTGACGCATCAGTCGAGTGATAGATAAAGAGGGAAAATCTATCGATGAGGTTAGGTATGCACAACTAGCCATCATCTTCGTCGACAATAGGCAATTTTAGCTGACATAGGATTGATCAGGTTGGAACAGAGCTAGTTAGTGGTGTACGACAATGCTGCATGCCAAGTAATCCACAACGGGAAACTCACGGAAGACGGGAGTAAGACAATGTTCCTGATTGCAGTAGATTGGATAATGCGAAAGACAGCGGGCAATGAGGAGACTGGTGTAGAATAGACCCACACAAAACACTTGGGGGATATGGACTTCGCCGATGATATATGTCTGATTTCCCACAAACTGGAAGATATGCAAGTGAAAAGTAACAAGTTGGCAGAAGAAGCATCCAGAGAAGGTAGGACTTCACTCAGGTGAACATAGAGAAGACAGAAGTAGGTGATGAAGATTCCTGGCCAACAGCAACAACAACAACAACAGACAACAATCATACAGCATAAATGGGGAAATCTGAAAGAAGCAACCTCCTTTACCTACCTACCTACCAGCCTGGGAAGCATCGTTTCAACTACAGACTGACGGAACTGATGAAGATATTAAAGCGATGATCAGGAAAGCACGGTAAGCTTTTATTTCCCTCAAGTTTGTGTGGAGATCGACAGCACTCAGCATGAAAACGAAAATAAGATCCGGATTTTCAACTCCAGTGTGAAGTCAGTGCTACTTACTATACGTACGGATCAGAAACCTGACGCCGCTTCCCGAAGGGCACTTCACACAGACTGCAGACCTTTAGCAACAGCTATCTTCGCTCAATACTACTCAAGATCAGATGACCGGCCAGAAAAGATCAGCAACAGGGATCTCTGGCAATGAACGAACAAACCCAGCAGGAACCAATTGTGCAACAAATATGCAGGAAGAAATGAAGGTGGATTGGATGACTATACTCCAAGAAAACAAACCATCAACTGAGTGACATAACACGCCAAGCCATCGCTCGAGTGGAACCCGAATGGGAAGCGGCGAGTTGGTCGTCAGTGCGAGGGTGGGGTGACATGGAGGAGGTGATGTGAAGAGGAGATGAAAGCATGTGGACAGACGTGGAGCCAGGTGAAAATGTTGGCAGAGAACCGAACACAATGGAGACGTGCGACTGAAGCCCTATGTTCCCCTAGGAACTAACGGAAACAATAATATTAATAATAAATCAGTCGATGAAATCCATAACAGTTAGTTTAAGCCAGCCAGGTTGGGAGGTGTCGACTTCCAGTTTGGGGTTCATTGGGTTGCTTAGAACCAAGAGCTTGAGAATGTCTGGGTGTTATGACTCAAAATCGTTCTAAATGGCGCCGATGCAACCATCATTCAACCCTCATGTTTCTTCCACCCACACACATGTTTGCTAAATATAGAGTTCTTCTGAATTTTATTATCTTATCTCTACGTTTGTAGCCAACATGGAGTATGGCAACTCGAACTGCCGCACTACTATGCTAGGTTCTATGTTGCAGCTCAGTCGGTGGTTGGTTCAGTTGTGTAATGACCACCGACCACACCCCTCATATGGTCCGGGATTCGATTCCCGGACGACGAAGCACTTTGAAACCTCACTTAACCGGTAGACAGGTCGGTAAATAGGGAAAGTTAGACATGAGGCTAGCAAAACCACAGCAGTTACTCAAACTTCAAAAGCTTAAGACTGACACCTTATGTTGTTCTGCTCAGAACGAAGGGGAACAGGGAAAAAGAAGCGAACACACACACAGCAGAAATTTTCCCAACAATGTTACACTTACCATATTCAATTTTGTATATGTGACAGGTAAATGAGGACGATGAAAATTCTTTTCTGAACTGACAGCTGAAGCTAAAGATGGTGCAGACAGGAGAGCTGCAACAAAATTGATACGATCAATCCATAGGTCGACTTCTTTTACATCACTGAAATGAGTAAATAAATAAGAGAGGGGGGAAAAGACAAAGAAAGAGGTTAGAGTAGAGAGATATGCATGCCCAGCGTAATGGTGGTGACTTAGAAACGATCATGAATACAAGTCATTTGTTACATAATATTACGTAATTACTCATTCTTTACATACCGAATGGAAAACAGGACTTTATTTTGAAATAATAGAGAAGATTTGTAGCTCAGGTGGATGATTTGCAATTAATAGTGTTCTCTGAGCTGGTTTGTTTAGTTGCGGAGCTTTCGTCATCCTTCTGGACAACATCCCCTTTCAGCGCAATATTTAGCATAAAGTGAAATGATTTAAATTTCTTCATGAGTGATATAATTGCGTCTCCTGGTAACTATCTTTACATATGTATTGACCATTTTCTATTGACTTGGATTTTAAACTTTCTGGTCACCTGATTTACTTTTTATTAGTTGGTATATTTTGTCTATATTAACGTGTTTGTTAATTGCATATTCGTTTGAGTACCAGGCTTCTAGGAATTCCCTGACTGCACTTTTGGTGTTTCCTCTGTCTAAGATTTTGACATTATCCCAATCAAATTGATGTCCATAATTGTCTACATGCATTGATATGAAAGAATATATATCGTGTCTTTTCACACAGCTGATTTGTGTTCTTGGATTCTAATTCGAAGGGGACGCCCACTTTGGCCGATGTAATGTTTGTTGCAGTTCATACAATTTATTTTGTAAATGGTATTAATTTTATCCCCTTTTTCTGTTGGATCTTTCGGTTTGCATAATATCGAATTAAGCGATTTGACTGGCTTGTGTGCTATATCTATATCAAACGGTTTCAGTATTCTAGCTGTTATTTCAGAGATATTTCTCATGTATGGTAGGATGAATTTTCTTGTGGTCTTTGATGGTCTTTGACCAGGAGACGCAATTCTATCACTCATGAAGAAATTTAAATCATTTCACTTTATGCTAAATATTGCGCTGAAGGGAGATGTTGTCCAGGAGGACGACGAAAGCTCCGCAACTAAACCAACCAGCTCAGAGAACACTATTAATTACAAGACTTTATTGGTACGCTACCAGGGTATTTGGTTTTCTGGCTCTATGAACTCCCCAAGAAACCTGTATTTCCTCTTAACACTCACGGGGAGGGGTGAATGTTCCTTCCCCCTGAAGTTAATGGGTGAATGCGAATTTTTGGTGCTTACAACAGGGCATAGTGGACATTCAGGCCTACCTCTATCTAGAGGAGGTAGAAACCTGATTCTAAACCTTATAGTGTACATGGGTTTTCGAGTCCTACTTGATGGAATAGCTTATGAACCTTGTCTGAGTTACCAGATCTACTGTCTTGTGAAGGATTTAGAGTAATGGCATTGATGCACCTTCTGAGATCAGGACCCCGATGATCACCACCTAGTGATGCAGTCAGAGACATCGCTATTGACGATTGACATCTTGAAGGACTATAAATAGAAAATATAGTAGGTTGCTAGGGTGGTAGGGTGGGTAAGCAATGTTATGTGTCTAGCTAGTGTTCTCTGAATTCTATAGGTCAAGTTTGCGTCTCTGTATGTGTGTGTTTAACACGCTTTACGCATTTATTTATGAATTCTATATATTCAACAAAATTTCCTGGTTGGGAGTCCTTGGTGTGCTCAGATTCAATTTATCTGAGACCTACTTGGTACAGCTGACGGGGAGTGGGTGGGAGAGGACTTCAGTCTTCTCTCAAAATGCCCTCTCATGTGGCCACACACTCATAGCCTACCTCTGCAAGGTGAATGAGTTCTGTTCACTGCCTTCCCATAACACAAAATTGAAAGGTGGCGAATTCGAATATCTGGCCATCACAACTGCACTGATGGACATGTTGGCGGCTAGGTGTGGGGAGGTGAGCTGAAAACCTTGATTCCAAACCTGTGTGGTGTACTCATGGACTCCGGAATCCGATTAAATCGAGTGGTGTATGCACGTGTTTTGGTCACAAAAAACCGTTGGGAACGTATCACCTGACGCCTTATGAATCAAACTTCATGTCAAAAGTTCGGGGATGAGGGTGGCCCCTTAAGAGAACCACCCGCTTTGGTCTGGGCGTCCTGGTAGTATTTCATCTCTCGCATCTTCTGGTGTCCACAATATGCCAAGTTTGTAGTATGAAATAATAATAATAATACCACGGCAGTCAAACATTCGTGGTACGTGGGGTGGGGTCTCGAACTCCTGCCTCCCCCTTCCTCACCACTGGTTGGTAATTCAGGGACAAAACGAGTATAAGAAAATGGGAAATGAAACTTACTTGACTTCAAATAGGAATTCAGCGCCTTCTTTAGTTCGTAGCCGGAATACATTTGATTTTTTCACATAATCTGTAGCCCGACAAGCATAAGCATGAGCTATACGAATGATAGTTTCAGGCGGTGGAATTGGAGGCGGTACAAATGATGGTGTAGTCATCATTGGTATCGAGTGTGGTTGAAGTTGAGGAGGCTGAGAAGGCAGAGTAGTAGTAGTGCTAGCAGCAGCACCAGTTGTTGCTGCAGTGATAGGAATAGTACTATAAACAGGGGTGGTGGGATTCGTTGACGAGTACGTCTGTCCTATCGATGATGTTGACGTTTCTATACTTGTTTCATTAACAATTGCCTTATTTGAATTATTCTGTTCAGATGATATTGACTTGGCATTTTCTGTGGAAGCAGTAGTCAACTGTTTCGATGGACTTGTCCTTGAACTGATCAGACAGGTTGGGGATAAAAAAAACAATTGGGAAATACAAGAAGAAATATAATACTATGTATAACTAACATATTTCAACTTAGACGAAGTGAAATTAAATAACTTCAATAGTGATTTCGTTTCAATGCTCTAACTAAATGACTGACTGGTTTCAACATAGAACTTTGCACCGATGTGCACCAGTTCAAGTCGCCACACTCACTTCACGTAGCACACAAAGGAAGAGGAGAAAGTAGGAGAAATGCCAAATAGTGACAGCAAACAGAGATATGAGATAAAAGGAATAGTAATATCGAAGAACCATATAGTTTTATTTGGTATTATAAATCACAAGGAGTGGATGCATCTGCATCAGCCATTGAGAACGAGGATTTTGACCCATATCACCAATTGTCTCCAACCATTGTCATTGGTTTTTATCGTCCCGAGGACCCCAACCAGTCGGTCAGGAAGTCTACACCTCTTCACGTAGCTGGCTTAAACTAACTGTTGTGGATTTCATTGATTGATGAGGCCATGTTTTGGTTTGACCACCACTAACTAGCTCTTTTCCAACCTGACCATATGTCAGTCAGCTAACATTGTCCGTTGTCGAGGAAGGTGATCAATCTCAGTCGATGTAACTTCACGGCCTCGTCAATTGATTTCCCCTCCTTACCATCACCAAAGATGTACTAATGAAATTGACCTGCACTGATCTCAGAGCAACTTATCCTTCTGCTCGAAGATGCTGAGAAACTACCTTGAGCAGAAATTATCAAATGTTTGACATGCGATTCGTTCCTGTCAAATACTTCAGGACTGGATTACACCGACTCTTAACTTAAAGATAGGCAGTTATGTGGTAGAGGGTTTTCACCATATCAGTTTACTTTGGAAGTAGAATCAGACGTCGGTGAACTATCATTTCTAGACTGGATGCCTAGTTAAAAAGAGGGAAAACGGACATTTTAGTATATCTATATTCAAGAAGAAAACCCACTCCAACAAATATTTAGACTTCCGATCATCACACCCCATCAGCGCAAAGGTATCAGTTGTTTCAAGTCTTCTTAGACGAGCACACTCTTTGATGTTAACGGATGAGAAAGAAAAAGAAATATTACTGAGTCTCTCAAGCAAAACAACTACCCAAAAAACTTCATCAACAAAATCAACACTGACATTAAGTATGGTCGAAAACACGTATTCCGAAAATATGGACCTCAACAGTTGTCATTCCATATAGAGAAGAGACGTCAGACGATATCAGAAGAGTACTCAATAAGCTCGACATCAGGGTATTCTTCAAAACATCAGACACACTAAGAAACAACCTTGTCCATATAAAAGTCCAAATCCCCAAAGATTCTCTATCTGATTGTGTCTATAAAATAAAATGCTTGGAATGTGATGCGATATACATCGGACAAACATCTCGAGAAATCGAAATCAGAAGAAATGAACACCGTAGAGCATCTCTTCGACCACCGAGAAATCCCGTTGAACTACAAAAACTTGAAAAATCATCAGCCATAGGTCTTCTACACGCTACGCTATAGAATCAGGCCACAAAATTGATTTTGACAATATTGAAATAATCCAGAAAAATGACAGAAATCCCAAATTACGTATAACATCAGAAGCACTTTATATCAAGTGGAATCCGAATAGTGTGGATAGGAATGATGAACTAAGACAGAATTTGACCTGGTTACAACACACACCTCCCTCCCACATGAAATGACAAAGTCAACACGAATGTGATAAGCAATTTCATTATGTAAACACACGCTGCTTTTATAATTTTACACACTTATCAAATCCAACAGTCATCTACACCTGATTTTGTTATCTTTACTAATTGGCCGATTAGAAAAAGGAAAAATTACCCCCTGCTGAGGAACGATGACTAAATTGTTATATATAAACTGAGAATTTGTAAATTCTGGTTTAATAATACCACTTTGATAAAGCTATTAGCAGCAGCATTAAATAGCGAAAAGTCAGTGAAAACGTGAATATCGTTTTGTTTTTCATTCATTCACTGAGAAATACAAAAACCGATGGTGCTACCTAGACTGAAAGATGAAGTACCTAGACTAGCTAGTCACATCAAATTGTATCCACCAATTCAACTGCGCCTGTGGTGGAGCGAGTTATATTGGCCGTTGCTCTAGGAACTAGATTTTTCGTGCTCGATAACATATCCCACTACGGTTAAGTAAAGTTGTAGTTAAAACCATTAACAGTTCGATATTAGACCATCTGGTGCAAACCTCCCACAAAGCCAGCCAGCATTGAAGAATCCTTCTCTATCATCTACCGGCTGCCTAATAAATTGCCAAAATCATCATTGAAGCAGCGCATGCTTTAAACAGCAGAGGCTATTGCAATTCGCCTCAAACAACCAGTACTTTGTGTGCAAAAGAAGCAACTCCAACCATCCATTACTACTTCCCTGGCCAGCCTTCAGTAGAAACTATAAATTCATGAATTTGTAATATTATCTTTCCTAATTTTTCTGACATTCAGCCTATTTTATGTTGATGCTATTGAGCTGTAATCTATCAATACTATTGATTTGATGTTATTTAAACACCATTAATGTTGTTCATAACACTAATTCATTCATTCACTATAATGTATATGTAACTGTAGAGCCTGATGATGAAGGAGCTATCGAAAAGGGTATTCTTTGTTCCGTATCCATTCTTTTGAAAAATGTTAATGGGAATTTTTAATCAGTTAAAATACAAAAAAGAACCTTTATTATAATGAATATCATATACCATCCAATGCCCAAATTTTTTCAAACTGTTAAAAGTAAACTTGGTTTGGATATATACATACATCCGTACAAAAGGAAGAAAAGTGTTATCGAGTGCAATCGCCAGACATTTAATTGACACAGGACACACAGTAGAAATCAGCCAAGCCTTCAAAATAATCAATACACAAAGAAACCCATGGCTACTTCGCTTCGCAGAAGCCATTGCTATAAAGAGATTTCGACCAGACCTCTGTATACCTACTACCTTGGTAACCCTAACTCTGTTTCATTTTATTTTTGTTTTGCCTTTCTGTCAGTATGCCTGTGTGTTTGTCTTGTTGCGTAACATTCTATTCAATTTTGACCTTCAAGTTTCTAAATCTACTTAATTGTTTGTCTGTTTAAGTTAAAAATGTTACTTCACTATTCACCCCCACCCTCTTAAACTCTCCACCACAAGATGTGTAAATTTACTCTGTTCTCTGACCCTGACCCTGTAATATGCCTCTAACCAATCTGTGTTGCTTTCCAATAGAAATCTGAACTCTTACCCCTCTTATCTAATTCCACTGTATATATCATTAGTTGTTTTTGACACTGAATAACCTGTCTACCTACATCAAATTCTGGAATTATGTTCCTTATGCCTTCTATCTATAACTCAAAGTAATTATGAAAAAGTATGTTCCACAACTTTCTTGAAACCTATAATTTGATTTTGTTTAGGATGTATGCAGTTGATGAGTACCCATGAAATATAAAACGAGCTCGTATTATCCTGCAAACATGTTCGTTCTTTCTCTCTTCAAACTAATAAAGGGAACCGGTTGCATGAAATATACATATATATAGTTAGAATTTTGTTACTTAAAAACTAAAACATCTATAAAAAGAAGGGGCAAGGGGTAGGAGGGGTGAGGACTTACTCGAATTGACTTTCATGAAGAACATCTTTACTCTCAGTAGCACTGGCAGTAGTACTATTGTGATGATCACCATCCATCGATAGTGTTTGTTGTATGGATTGTTTATCCGCATTTATAGGCAAATGAGTAGGATCGTTGCCTTCATGAGAAGAAGAAGATTGGTGATTAACATCGTCACCACGAATATCCTCACCACTCTTAGTATTACTATTGTCAGTAGTACGATTGTCATTCTCATCACCAACACCAACGACACTGTCACAACGACGACCAACAGCATTCTCGTCAACACGATCACCATCCTCCCCGCCTTCTCCATCCCCTTCAGCTTCACCGTCTTCTTCTGCTTCTTCTTGATTCATGGAATTCGATTTCTGTAAATGGTACTGTTGTTGTTGGTGGTGGTGTTGAAGCATCATGAACTGCTGTTGTTGATGCTGTTGGTATTGTTGTTGGTGTAGGAGAAGTTGTTGTACATAATTTTGTTGTTGTAGCTGTTGTTGTTGTTGTTGATAGTGTAAATGATGCAATTCTTCAGCGCGGGCAGCTGCATTAGCCACATTGACATTTTTATATAAATACAAGACAAGATCACGTAGTCGAGCATAGTATAACTTCCAACTGCGTCGACCAACAGAGGCTATATGAAACCAAGAAAAACCAAAAAATACAGAGGGTGGTTTTTAATGCGTTTAATAATAATAATAATAATAATAATAATAAATTTGCTTTATTCCAAAAACAGTACTAATGATACAGAATGGAATTCTCTGCATTTTTACTACAGTATTGCATCCAGTTAGTACATTATCAATAAATAGAATTCTACATAGATTAATGAAACCACAGTTCATTATTACAACAATACATTGGCATGTCAGTAGCAAAGCCAAAGCTGAACAGTGCTTGAAGGTGTTAGAAAAGTAGGTGCTATCATATTTACTGGCGTAAGCGCGAGAAAGAAATAAAGCAGCACATAACGGAAAAAAGAGAGAGAGAAGAGGAAAAGAAAGAAAGAAAATGTTGTACCTATAAATGATATGAGTTGGAAAGACGAGGTCCAGTTGTTCTACTGACTATTTAATGAATGATAGGTGTCACGCCTAATGCTTTCTTTATCGCACAGAACACGAGCCAAATAGAGTATGGTTGAGTTTTTGTACTTGCTAGTGCGAGCATATAGTTTTCTGTATATAGGCTTCTGGTTTTGCCTGATGAGATGCAAGGGGAGACTTGTGAGTGAAGAGGGTGGTGTGAGTTAGATAAAATGGATATGGCCCATTTTTCACATGAGTCCATGTGCCTGTCGACCAGAATATTCACGAGCTGGTTAAGTGGCACGTTGCTTACCCCGCTGACAACCTTTAACATCCTGCGTAATATGTTATAGTCATGGTGTACACATATATATACGCATTTGGTCCGGGGTTCGACCACCGGCCGACACCGCACTCCTTTACCTCGCTAAGCCAGTAGTAAGACTGATAAAGAAGGAAGGTTGGACCAGATGAGGCTAGCAACCTCTTATCCTGTAAAAATAATCATAACTGCTACAGCACCTTTAAGCCTTTAGCTTGAATGAAGGCGCCCGATGTTCCACTGGGAATGTAAAGGAATAAAGCAAAAGAACTCAATGACGATCGTGTATTTAGCAGGTGGATTTCATGCAATGAGAAGAGAGTTCAACATCGATCACATCCTATTTCCCGTGTTAGGTAGTAAAATATGATGAGTAATGCTGAGGTTAGGCATCAGTCAAGTGATAGGTAAAGAGGTTGTGAAGTTACACCGATTGAGATGGTTAGGATAGGTGTTATGCATGCATGACCTAGCCATAGATCGCCTTCATCGACAATGGACGATGTAGTGGTGGTCATACCAGAACATGACATCATCCGTCAATCAAATCCATGACAATTAGTTTAAGCCAGTTACGTGGGGGGGGTGTAGACTTCCTGACTAGCTTGGTTGGGATCCTCAGGATGGTAAGAACCAATGAATGCCGGAGACAATTGGTGATATGGCTCAAACTCATCGTTCTCAGTCAGTAATGGCGCAGATGCATTCAATCTTCGTGATTTCGCATATTCATTAAACCCTCAATGTTTCTTCTTGCTGCAGTTCTTTCTCTCTCTCGATTTTCTGAATCTGTGTTTTCTGTCTTTGTGCAGTTTATGGAGTGCTGCAGTTTGAACAGATGCACTTCTGTGCAAAGTCATATATCGACACTCGGTCAGTCATATGAACTGATATACCAGTTATAAAATCTTTAAAAATCAGCAGGGAGTACTGGAAATCTGTTTCGTCCTTGTCCGGGACTCTTTAGCAATATGCATCAAATGACCTCAACGCTGGAGATCGAACCCTGGACCTTGAGGTCACAAGGCAGGTTCTCATAAAGCATTCAACCACTGGAAGAGTCAGAATCCAATAGCTGGTCGGTTCTAACTTTTGACAATTAGTTACCGTCAACCAAATTCACGTCAGCGAGTAATTGTCCCTTCACTCACTCACAACTTGGACGACCACGCTGGGGGTCAACACTTCCCACTAGAACTCCACCACTGGGAAACTTCATCCTGTATTACGCCATTATTGAGTAAATGAATAATTTTACAGTGTGCAGCTTTGCAACATGGATTTGATTAAATATGAAGTTTGATCACGAACTGCTACAGCAGTTAGAGAACCATTGGAAACCAGCGAAGGTTTACTGGACACTTTGTTTTGTCCATATTTGAGACTCCTCAGTGGAGTTAGCAGTCATGGGTGAGTACTGCTTAACAGTCATAAACAAAAACGAAATAGCTGTCCAGTACTCCTTGGCTGGTTTTCAATGGTCCCCGAATAAACGTGGTGTATCGATCAATTGTGACGACAACTCCAGAATCTTTGTCAGGTTTCTTAATCGTTAGATTAGGACTTTCCTGTAGCTCCTTCGAAGCTTTGAAATGCTGAAGACATCATAAAATATTTCTCTGTTTCGGATGGTGGTTTGACGACAACTGGTGAGCTATATCCACCAATCTTGGCTTTAAACCTACGGTTATCGGTAGGAAGACCTGCGGACAGGTAGGATTCGTGCAGCATCCCGGTACTCGTCATTGCAAGATGTACTTGCGACCGCATCACCTAGTGCAATCGGCAATATGCTTTGGTCTAAATTTCGTGCTAATGACAGCTACCAGTCATATAATAATATCAATTCAGAGTGCATACCGATGGCAAGTCACCACATTGAAAACTTGAGTGACAGCACCAGAGCCGAGGACTATACACGCACGACAATGGTTACACTATAGTGACCAATCAGAGTAGCCATTACAATCCCAAATAGGTTTGTGGTGATGTGTATTTCTGCAACACTGGGTGAGATTGATCCGAATCACAAAGATGGCAGATACACCTTGCTGACTGGTGAGTGCCAACATGCACGATTCCTAGGTCTAGAGAGCTAAGACTTGCTATGGTCAATTGTCTCCAATAATCTATAACACTACTCTATAAAATCTGAAATCAGATCAGAAGTGAATCAATAAATTCTTACTGATTCATCTATCACACACTACAACCCCATTATGGATCAGATTTTATTTTGACAGTCTCACAGTATTGTTGTACAGTAATATTAACTGATGACCACAATTCGACCACAATATACTGACACTCATAATCATATCAAGGCACTACTCACACAACCCTTTGCTTCAATTATATACATCAGTGAAATTGGTTAGATATTGGAATAAAAAACAAGATAATGTACATTCAGAAATAATAATATGAGTGTTATCAATCAAATACAATCACATGGGAAATAAGACGAGTATTTCTATAATCAAAATAAATAAGTAGCTTGTTAGAATGTTAGAGTGTGTATGTGAGTTGAATTGAAATAGAATTTTAAGATTACTTATTATCCTCTTCTGATTTGACTGACTGGCGGTAATAATATCTTTCATACATATCTCTGTTATTTGCATTGAGTCATTTCTGTTGCATGTGTTGGGTTGGGTGTAGACTTGATGAACCAGGCAGAATTCAGTAATCAATCTCTCTCTCTCCTCCTACCTATATTACTTCTTAGAATTTTGACTGTGGCCCACCCACCTTATTGTGCGTTTGTGTGTTAGTGCATGTAGTGCTATAGCTGAGTTATTTTTTTCTAAATTACTTATCTTCTCGGAATCAACCATTCTAACCTTAACTAAATTCTTATGTTCTGATAATCTGATTACTCCCGATCTACTAGTTTGACCTATATAGTTGATCTCACTCACAATCATTGTAAGGTATTTTGTAAATTATATCATTTTGTCTAATTGAGTCAACCAGCAGGGTCCTTTAACCTACAGAGCTTGTCCTAGCTGAGTGTAGGTTCTTCCTAATGCCACCCCGATTCCTGCTTTATTGACAATCCTACGTGGGAAGTGTTTCAGATGCCCAATCCTTATACGGTAAAATTACTGCAGATGCCTTATATTCTCTCTTATTTATGTTATCATAATTAGTTAGTAATGATAACTGATTACAGAAGCTGGAATTCATGACCTGGTTGTTGGATCAGCTCTAAGTGGCTGAATGGTCTACGAACTTTCCTTGTAACTGCTGCTGGATTCAACATAGAACTTCGCACCGAAGTGCAGCAGTTCGAGTTGCCACGTTAAAAATAGCACACAAAGTTAAACAAGAAAATGAGTGAAGAGAATCAATAGAATTTAGATAAGTATACGAGTGAAACACAATGAGTAATGGTAGAAAGGAATATGAAAGATTAAAGAGACTGAATACATCTGCGTAAGCCATTCACAACGATTTTGAGCCTTGTCACCTAGTGTCTCCTTGTAACTGGAAGGCTATGGGTTCGAATCCCAGTAGCAGATAAGTACGTCCTGCCGAAAAGTCCCCTGCTGGCTTTCTCTAACTGATGTTAAGTTATGATTGAAGCTGTAAAAACAAAATTCATTTTTATTCAACAGTATGCATATAGGATGACCACACACAAACACAAACACATAGGCACACAACCGAGAGAATCACTCAAACAGACCCATGTGATAAAAATACAAGCAAGGCGTGTACGTACTTTTCTTCTTATATGACTCCATAACCCATTTACGCGCCAGCACACCACGCATGTATTCTTTGGCACCAATTTCAGATGTTAACTGTGATAACAGAGAGAAAGAGAGCGATAGCGAAAGAGAGATTGTGAAAGGCAAAAAGACGGCAAATATAGAAACAAATCAACACTAACACCAACACCAAAAACAGGTAGGAACACGTCAAACAAGTGATCTAGTTTGGTTAATTCTATTTGATAAAAAAACTGAAGAGAAGTAAACGATATCTGATAAAAACGAGATGAGTAAAAAATATACAAAGACAACTGGACTGGACTGCACCGACTCCTAGTTTAAAGATAAGATAAGAAGTGAAGTTGTTGGGTGTGTTGACACCACTGACTACTTCACTTATTATCAGCTGACGAAATCTCAACAATGATATCAAAAAAGGCTCGTTGAATGGAACATAAGGCTTCAACCTTCGGCTTTGAAGTTTCCATAGCAGTGATGTTTTCACGGGATGGTGTTGTTAGCCCCACATGTGCAACCGTTCCCTCTTTGACGGAGTAATAACCGACTAAGGGAAGTAAACGTCTAGCGCCGGCATGAGATAGAGCCCCGGACTATTCGGATAGTTAACAAGCATTCTACCACTGAACCATTGACGCGCATCTCATATATGCTTAGATAATCTAGGTAGTGGTGAATGTTTATATGCCTGTAGCCGCAGAGACGAAAAATAACTATTGTCCCGTAGCGACTAGCTAACATTTAGCTTGGTTTTATAATAAATTGTGAAACTAAGACTAAAACATGCAAATATAGCACAGCATGATATTGAAAAAAACAGTTAGCAGCACAAATAAAAATATGAAAATAACCATTCTAAGTTAGTTTAATTCAATTTTAGATTTTCCAGTCGTTTGATTGAACCAAAGTGCTCGGTCTCAGGTTGACATGTCGACTTCTTGTGCAGATGCTTTGACGCTGATGTCTGGGCATGTAATCAGAAGTTAATTTATGCATGGTGACTAGCAGTGGAATCCAGCCAGGATAACGCGCATTTCGCGAGGTGGATGTCCCTGCATCTTCCAGTGAGAGAGTGATGATGTCCCCACTGGGGCTCCAACTCACTGCACATAGTTTCAAACACCAAAGCATTATCCAGTAGATTACTTGGGTCATGAGAGCCATCTCATGTCCACCTGAGGTTGAGCACTTCAGTTCATCCAATCGACGGCAAAATATAAAATTGAATTAAATAATTAATCTGACCCGTTGCACAAGAGTTGGCTCCCATGGTGGTAGTAGATAACAGTTTGGTGTTTGAAACTATGGGCACTGGGTTCGAGTCTCGGTGGGAACATCATCACTCACTGGGGAATACAGGTACATCCACTGGCTGACGAGTCCCGAATAGGACGAAGTGCGAATTACTCTGGATTCCACTGCTAGTCACCATCCATCAATTATTCTAGGTTAGGGTTGGAAGCCATAAGAGGGAGAGGGATTGAATAAGCTTTTGATGAACACACACACAGATTGCGTTGAAAATTTCTCATGTCAACTTGCTTCAGCTATGCTTAGCAATCGGAGGGCGTACAAAATAATCATTGGGAACTGAGGTGGTATCTTGTGTGGAATTTTGTTTTGTAACCCTCCACAAGGTAGGTGTGTGTGCCAATATAGAACTTCTGGTGATTGACTTTATATGACTTCCTTCCCTAATCACTTTGAACAATGCTCAAGAAGGCTAGTCGTTTTACATATGTACGCGTCTCCTCCACATAAATGCACACTGAAAGTGGCAAGTTTCGATAGCGTATTCTTCACCTACTTTGAAATTATACAACAACTGGTGGATTTTAAACACAGTGTTGAGGCAAAAAATGTTGTAGCTATTATTTTCCGAAGTTTCAATGCCAGTATTTCAATGAACCTGTCTCCTTTAGAAGGTATAGTCATATATATATATATATATATATATATATATATATATACATATACCATTTGCACAGTTTGCAAGCACTTCTCTCTATCTGTTCTCATCATGGAGACTTTAACAAATTTTTGTAGGATATCCGTCCTCACACAGTAAACTTTTTATTTTCCTTATTTCATCGTCAAGAGTGTCAGTTGAGCAAATTTCTCCAGCACGAAACGTCAGTGTACTGACGAGATTTCGTTTGTATGCAAGACGAACAAACGAATTGAAATAGATGTGTTGGCCAGTCTAATGACTGTTTTTCCGGAAAATACCCCCACCCCCTCTTTATTGTCTTGTTAGCAGAACATCAGGATATGATTACAGTATTGTCTTTTCTCTTTTTCATCATATGTGAACTCAATTTGTAGATGAGCCACATTGAATATTTTGTGAGAGGGACCCCAGTATTGATTTTATTCTTATGCAAGATGGGAAAAAAGTATCATACTTATGTATCTATAGTAAGACGACTTCCTCGTTGACTACTGATTGAACCAAAATGTTTGGGCTGCCGCTGATCTACCTTTCGGCTCCTAGGACGGAGGGGTTACGACGATGTCTGAGGATTGACCTGAAATAATTTGGTGGACTAGCATTTGACTAGAAGTGGAGAATCCAGGATGCGCATTTCCATCCACCAAATTACTTCAAGCCAATCCTCAGAAACCGTCGAAGCCTCCGTGTACTAGGAGCCGACAGGTAATTCAACAAAGGCCGAACATTCCAGCCCAATTAATCAACGGGAAAATCACAGTTGAATTGAAAACGGATCAAAATTGGTTCCCCCGTTGCACAAGAGATGGCTTCCTTTGATCAAGAGGTTTGTTGGATAACCCGCTTTGAAGATTGAGACCATGGGGACTGGGTTCGAGTCTCAGTAAGGGGAACATCATCACTCACTCGCTGGGGAATGCAGGTACATCCACTAGCTGATGAGTCCCAAATAGGACGAAATGCGCATCCTGGTCCGATTCCACTCCTAGTCCTCATCCACAAAATTACTGGAACGAGAGTTCACTAATTACATTTTCTAAGTGGGCAATTCTATAACTGTATTATAAATAACATATCAACTATAAGGAAACCCACGGTGGTGGTGGGGGAGAGGACAGTCCAATGACAATTTACCGAAAACATGCATTTGCTTGATTAAATTGTTTTCTATAATTATCATAATAGGAATATGGTTGTTATTAGATGGTTGGAGGCAATCGACCACAGGTAGCCCTGCCAGACCTAGGTTTCGTTCTACTTAGTCGCTACTCACCAGTCGCCATGACGTCACTGCAACCTTGAAGGAGCTCACATCCCGCTCTGAGATTCGAACTCGTGTCAACGCCCATTGCTATCTGGCAATCAGAGACATCTACCACTGCTGAGTTATTCGGGCTTGGCCACGAATGCCTAACCCCTGTAGGACTGACTGTATTAAATACTTTCACTGGACACGAATGAACTCCTTCAGGACTGCAGATACACCACGCTGACTACTCCAAGACTTCCTACCGACTCCCTACAGCCATTTAATAACAATAATTCTGAGTGAACCGTGATGATAAAGAATCACCCCCTCCTAGTGGCATGGTGATCACATTGCAAACTACTTGACTCATATAATATCCAATCAAATTAATTAATGGAAAAAATTTTAAAAATCAATAACTCACATCTAAATACGGACTCAGACCAGAGGATTCATTCAATTTACGATTTCCTTGAGTCAACTGTAACTGTGATTGTTGTTGTTGTTGCTGCTGGAGCAATTCACCGGGATTAGTACTACTACTATACATAAAATTAGGGCTGACAACATTATTCAACATTGAGACACCAGAACCATCATCAGTAGTATACACTGAAGGCGCCAGGCTACCACCTCCACTACTACCAGGATTCCAATAGAATGATGCTGGAATAGAATGCGGTGATGAAAATGGAAACTGAGATGTCGGCGTTGTTGTTGTTGTTGTCATCGGTAGTGACAAAGCAGTCGGATCATTGCTCGTTTGACAGGACATATGCGGTAGGATAATCGAGGAGGACGATGGATGAGCAGGATAGGCACTGTTCTGTAGCGGGCTGAACATAAAATGTGCTTGCGGTGGAAGATTTGCATAAAAATTGGTAGTTGTTAAAAAACCACCTGGAGGTATACCAACACCAGTAGCGCCAGCACCTGGTGGACCAAGAGCTTTACCAGGACCAGGATAATAGAAATTAACAAATCCCATCATATTTGCATCGGATCTGAAACAAGAGAGAGGGGGAAGAGAAAATGAAAACGTGAGTGGAAGTACAATAAAAAGTTGTGTAAAAAAATTGTAGGACGTTAAAGTCGTACATTTCGACTGACATTTTAGGGATTTCATTGGTTTCAAAGCTAAATTATTGATTATCATAAAGTCTCATCAATTACAAGATCGTATTATCGTATTCTCTGTGGTCCATGTTTCCTAAGAATTCTAAACAGACTACTTACTTGACTCACGAAAAAAATTTACAGCGTCCTGCAGTTATAGTGCATTTCATGAGGTTATACTCAACGTTTAATTTTAGACTTCCTGTACAGCTGAACTGTATGTCCTAACACAATACTTCGTTCAATTTACACTTAGAATATTTATAAAATTTTGTAGTGTTTAGCTGGGTATTTTTTTTATTCCTTCACGTTCCCAGTGGAACACAGGGCTTCAAGCTTAAGGCTTGAAGTTTCTTTGGCAGTGTTTATTTTTACAGGATAAGGTTACTAGCCTCATGCCCAACCTTTCCCCTTTACCAGCTCTATTTCTGGCTTATCGAGGTAAAGGAGTGCGTCGACCGGGGATCGAACCCCGGACCATGTGCATGGTCGGCGAGCATCCTAACCATAGTGTCCACCGACGCACTGTAGTGTTTAGCAGCGCGCCTTATTTGTTCCTTGAGTTCCGAAAGGAGAAGAGAATAAAACTTGACAAAAATGCCTTCTTCAGATGATTATGTCACTAGAGCTGGAAAACTGAACAAGAAATGTGAAAGGTTCAAAACCACACGAAATGACACCAGATTCGAAGAACCCAGAAGATGCTGACATAAGAACTCGACTTCTGTCACTCGTGGGACAATACTCAAATGCTAACCTTAATAAACTTGAAACACGACACTTCTATGGTGCAGCACAAACCACAGTCGTCTGAGTTTAGTTCTGGCTGGCTGGCTGGATTCAACATAGAACTTGGCACCGAAGTGCAAAAGTTCGAGTTGCCACGTTCCAAAGAGCACACAAAGGTAGACAAGAAAATGAGTGAAGAGAATCAATAGAGTTTTGACATGTATAAGAGTGAAACAGAATGAGTAATGGTAGAAAGGAATTTGAAAGATTACAGAGAATGAATACATCTGAGTAAGTCATTGACAACGATTTTGAGCCATGTCACCTATTGTCTCCAGCCATTGATTCTTAGAGTCCCGAGGGCGGGCCCCAACCCGGAAGTCTGCATCTCACACCCTATCTGACTCAGTTTAACTGTCAAGGATTTCATGGATTGATGAGGCCATGTTTTTGTTTGGCCACCACTCTTACTCTTTTCCAACCTGCACCTATATCAGCTAGTAATGCCCGTCGGGGGAGGCGATGGCTAGGCATGCGCAGCACGTGACCTAGCCATCTCAATCTATGTAACTTTATAGCCTGAGTTTAGTTCAATTATAACACAGTGAATACTCCTCCGATCATCGTTAAGCAGACAGCACGCACGCCAGTCTCAAAGTTCAGCTAAACCTCAGTCAGTGTGCTGGCACTATGGTTCATGGCATTTTGTCAAGTTTTTGTCCTTTCAAGAAACATAAAAACGCAGCAAATGTCACCGTTTTGAACGTAAAGAGGGTTACTGTCCACCACAGAAAAACTCTTCGGTGAGGAACAGACGTAGTCCTTTTAAGCCGAAACAATCTCCTCGGGTAAAGACCATTTGCACAACTTCCAAAAGGGATTTCGCCAGCAAACAAACGCAAGTACATTACGCTATCTATTAACAGCAAACCTATTCGTCTTCAGTTGGATACGGCATCAGATATCACCTTAATTTCCTGAACCACATGGCGCAAACTCGGGTGTCCACAGACTATGCAGACGGAGCATGTCGCTAAGAATGCTTCTGAAGATGAGCTAAAACTTATGGGTGGGATCAGCCACCATATTCAGTTTGGTAAGGATCAATTCAATGGTGTATGTTATCTTGCAAACCACCATGGTTTGAATTTACTCGGTTTTGACTGGTTAGAAAAGCTCAATCTCTCAAATGTTCCACTAAATTCGGTATGCTTTAACATATCACCTTCATCAAATGACATCATTTCAAGTAGTGCTTCAAATATACCTCTGCTGAAACACTCATATAAAAAGCATCCTACAGTCTTCCGGGAAAATCTTGACTGCCACAGGTCTAGTCAAGTATCTTCGACTCTGAAGCCGAGTGACAGACGAGCCTCTAAGCCTGCTTTCAAGAGAGCAAAGGAGGAGGGAGCAGTGAGGGAACTCTTAAGTAAGTTACCACAGGCAAATAGGAATATCAGCCAGGCGCAGCAGACATAACAAAATGACTACGGTTCTCATTCGGTTAAGTGCAATTATAACAGGGCCACAGAGCAGCACATTCCTGTTGTACTTTGTGTTCTCTACCATCCTTTTAAACTGTTTCTACAACTACTGTCCAAAATTTCATTTCCTCTGTTACAAAATATCTTCTGTATAGCATCCTTGGACCAGCTCTTCGATTTCTCCCCCATTTGGGTTGTACTCAAGAGTCTGGCGTGTGATGTCCTAAGAATGCCATAGATCTCCACACTGACTTTAGATTAGTGAATATCTATCTTGGCTATCGCGATCCTAACTTGTTTGGTTACACACTATCCTAATCCGCGCCGCCGGTAATTGAAAAGATGCTGTCCATAGTCGGACAGTAATTAATGTCAGTTGCCAATCAAGAAACTTCATCACCTGAAGAGGTCCTGTATCTCCCAAATAAAATCGAAATTATGCATAAGCTTCATTCTGCACAGTCATATACAAGGCAGTGATTATGTGAGATGTAAATAAACACTGGCTTAAAAGTATTCCAATTTTCAAGTATTAGAAGTTTCAAGGGTTCGAGTCCCACTCCCTATCTACTTCAGCTTAGGGTCCGTAACTCTATGTAAAATGATCAACCGTGTGTATCTCAATGCTTGATACATGAGACTGATTTAGGGAACTGAGTCATTTGTGAAGGTGAATCGGTTGAGATGACTGGGATAATATAACTGTCACTATTGTTGAAACACAAAAAATCTTGGTACAGTACGGCAGGAAGAAAATGTGCCACACAATCATTATAATAATAAAACGACATTTGAGATAAACAACTAAAAAATTTGTAGGTAGAGAATGCATGAAGTACTTCATCTGGGAGGAAAACAGTCATATTTAACTAGTTCAAACAGCATTCATCAAACTGTTGTCGTAAAAAGGGAAGAAAGAAGGAAATTGCAGCACGACGTTCGCCATCGATGATTCCGATTCTTGGCCAAATCCGATAACGGTTCGGGCTATCTGTCGGACCGCCGCTAACTTGACACAAATACCCTTCATCCCGCGACACTACGTCACAGACTGGCCACCATTCCATCACAGCGCCAGCTAAGCCTCTGGGATGATATTTGTAGCACGTGTCCAAGCAGTCGCTGAAACCGGTGTTTCCAGATGACGACGATACTCAACGAATGGTGACCTCCACTGTGTCCGAACACACGCCTCCGGACCTCAGAATTACTCACGCAATGATGCCATCGAACTCAAGCGATCTTACGGAGATAGCGATGGTCTAATACGCCGAACCGCCGCACATCCTCATGCCACCCGAAGAGGCCAGGTTTCACAGGCATAGAGCAAGACAACACGAACCAAAGTATTGTAAACCCGACCTCTAACAGTCAGGCTAACGTCGCGACGGCACCAGAGGTGGCTCAAGTTGACGTATACCACCCTAGCTTTCACATAATACGGTCGGAAATCTCATCCATCGCAACATGACTGAGATATGTATGTGTTACGTATCCCGAGCGATCGCTTTCCTCAACGGGTAATGTCACACGACAGAGAAATCAGTCGGAAAAACTTGACTTCAGGTCGTGAGGTCTTTGATAGTCAGTTTGACCCATATAGGGAAGTATAAATGTATCTTGTGCTACTGACAAGATTTACCAGTAGTATATAGATACAGATATAAATTATGTAAAAATACAGAAATGGATTTAATGAACTATGCTTGTGAATCACAACATGGAAAACATGGAAGGAAGGCGAAGAGAAGTTCATATATGGAAGATATGTACAAGTTGTGATTCTGATATATCGTAGATGTGCATCCAGTTGCCAAAAAAAAACAATTTCGTTATGAAATCATCTTATATCCTGCTGTTACACACAGACTGTCATGTTGGGGCCTTCAGGAAGCTGATGTGTAAAGGGTAGAAGACGAAGACTTCGTAAAGGAATCTTAATTTCCAATTATTTATCTATATATAGCCAAACTGTGTACACACCTTATCTTCAACGCCGCACCATTTACACAGATCTTTCGGGTTGTGCTATCTCTGGCTTTCCTTCATATTGTGTTTCTTTGTGTTCCTTTCACGTCCCCCATGTATCTCTGTCCGAAAAGCTGTAGCATTTGTTTTCTCTAATATCAAATCCATCTCCCTCTTATTTGATGCTTTTATGCTGGCCGATGAACATCTCCATTATGGGAAAATTTTGTTTTGATAGAGTAATGTTTATCAGTAAACATTACTGTATAACACTGTGAGACTTTATCAAAACAAAATTTTCCCATAATGGAATTACACTCTACCACAGTGCACAAGTTTTATTCTTTTATCAATGATGAATATCTCCTTAGATACATACTACTGATAAACCTTATCAGTAGCACATGGCCACACTACGAACCAATGGCTGCAGATTATTGGCAATGTGGTGTAAAATTATTGTCTCTATGTGGTCTCTCTTATTCGCAGTGTACTGTCATATTTTCTCTCTCTCAAAATTCTGTTTGTTGCAGTAGTTTTGAATGCCTTTTTTCCTCTCTTTTGCCTACTTTTGTATGCTATATATCGAGAGATTTAGATATGATAGAGAAGATTTGTAGCTTAGGTGGATGATTTCGATGTGGTTGTGTTCTCTGAGCCAGCTGGATAGTTAATTTGCGAAGCTTTCATTGCCCTACTTACTAGGCAACATCTTCAGCGCATACTTCAATTTGTCGAAGTGAGCTTTTAGATTTCTCCAAGAGTTTATTAATCATCTTTCCCGGTGACCTTGAGTGTGACTGGTTGATAAATTTATCAACCGATAAGAAGGAAACCTCACACACAAATGGTCATAGTTCAAGTCAAGGAAACAATCAGTTCCTAGAGAGTGTGAAAACACACAAAAACAACCAATCATGTTCAAGATGGTCACCAAGAGAGATGACTAATAAATAAACTCGTGGAGAAACTTAAAATCTCACTTCAAATTGAAGTATGCGCTGAAGATATTGCCTGCCTAGTAGGGCGATGAAAGCTTCGCCAATAAACTATTCAGCTCAGGGAACACAACCATACCAAAATATCAAGAGAGATAGGGGCAACATGAACTGCTGAACTTCTGTGCTCTGTATTCTATGTTGAAACTCAATCAAGCCGTGTCAGTCACTGAACCGAGACATAAGCACTACAGCACATCAACATTACAAAAAATGAAACACAATTTTTTGGAAGTGTTCACGTATTTCAATAAAAGTTGACTACTTGTTATTTGCCTCGGTTGTTCAGTGACCATCTGAGTGACAAACTGACTGGTTTCACCACAGCACTACTTTGCACAGATGTGCACCAGTTCAACTTACCATTCTCCCTCCATGTACCACACAAAGCAAGAGAAGACAGTAAGGAGAGATTTGAATAAAGCAAGAACAACAGTGTGTGGTTTGTGCAGAATAATATGGCTTCTCATCAGCTGCTTCTTACAGCCTATGATTTGAGTTGAACTCAGTACACTGTTACCTAATTTATGAGTAACTCTGCATCTTATGCATCTCTCGTCTTTATTAAGCAAATCCTTTGCCGTTGTATGCATACATTTATTTTGTTTAAACTTGAACTACCTGTGTAAAAACTATATAAGAGCAATTTCTGAGCACTGTTCACTAGTTGCGGAACTTTCTGTCAATTGACATCATGAAAAATTTGCAAGCTGAGAAGCCAACGAAATAAACAGTGATGGTATCATATTATTCTGCACAAACCACACTGTTGTTCTTGCTTTGTTCAAATTCATTAAGGGGAATAAATGCATAAAGAGAGATTCAAAAGAGACAGAGGTAATAAACAGAAGTGTGACTGAACGAAAAACAATAGTAGCAATATGGAAGAACAATAGAGTTTTAATGGATATGATAAATAAATCACAAGGAGCGAATGCGTCTGCGTCACCTATTGACAACGAGGATTTCGAGACATATCACCAACTGTCTTCAGTGTACATTGGTTCTTACCATCCCGAGGACCCCAACCACTTAGTCAGGAAGACAGTTTACACTACCCTACATGGTTGGCTGGCTTAAACTAACTGTTATGGATTTGTTTGACTGATGAAGCAATGTTTTGGTTTGAGTAACAATAGTTTTCTTTTTTCCAACCTGATCAATCCTATGCCAGCCAGCTGACATTGCCCATTGCCATCAATTCGACTGGGACAACGTTCAAACACTAGACAGAGGAAACACCAAGAATGCTAGAGAATTTTTAGAAGCCCGTCCGGTATTCCAGTGAATCATCAATCAGTAGACACATCGAGATAGTCAAAATTTACCAACCGATAAGAAGGAAATCTCACACACAAAGGTTCGAACTTCAGGTCAAGGAAACAACCAACACCAATACCAATATAAGTAGCCTAGAAAACACACAAAAATAACCAATCACGAAATTGAAGGTGACCAGGAGAGATGACTAATAAACTCGTGGGGGGAATCTTAAAGCTCACTTCAACAAATTGAAGTATGCGCTGAAGATGTAGCCTAGTATGGCGATGAAAGCTTTGCAAATTAACTATCCAGCTCAGAGAACGCAACCACATCAAAACCATCCACCTGAGCTACAAATCTTCTCCATCATATTGCCCATTGTGGAGAAAGGTGATCGATAGCTAGTCGTGCATTCGCAAAACATGTCTTAACCATCTGAACCGATGTAACTGCTTCACAACTTCACCGATTGATTTCCCCTCCTTACCAACTAGCACTTGGCTGACGCCTGAACCTCAATATCTCTCACCCAACGACAACCACTTAGTCCAGTGATCAATCCCCGGACGACGCACTCCTAAACCTTGCTCAGCCAGAAGGTCTAGAAACTCCACACGGTAAAAGAAATAAGAAACACCGTGGCTACTGAAACTACACATCTCAAAAGCTTGATGAAAGCCCTGTGTTCCCCTCAGAAGGCACAGGAATAAAATAAATAGTAATAATAGTAACTTACTGATGTGGCCAACGTATTGGTTCTTGTTTGATAGCATTGTATAAAACTTTTAAATCTTCTTTACAGTAGATTTCACCACAGTTTATTTGACTAAGATTATTAATAAATTCTTGACAGGACATTTTCTTTGAAATACTCTATTTATAACAAGACAGAAAGAAAAATATACTTTTTTGATGAGCAAAATAAACCAACGTAGATGAAATCGTTAAAAATTATAAAACAACTTAAGAAAACTGCTAGAATACAAAATACGGACAAATGCATGAATAGATCAGCTGACTGATTCGTTGAGACGCCAAACTAATATGGGTGAAGAACGGAAGTCAATCAATCAAAGAGAATGATGCTCGGAGAAGCTTCGTGTGCTCTTGGAAGTGTGTGGGCGGTTGTTACTTCCTGGCTGTCCACACCCCGTGGAAGTTGATTGATTCTTTGGGTACGTGAAACAGAGAGAGGGTTAGTGTTGCGTGACCACAGAGCCCAGTGGACAACAGCTTCATGCAGGTCACACAAGGCTTGTATGAACAGACCTCTTGGATTGGTTCCGTATAAGCAAATTTACCACCGGCTACGGCCCACCGTAGGTGGAGTAAGTCAGGATGTACAATTTTTGGGGTCGACCTTTTCTAATCCCCCCTCTCTCTCCAGAGTGGAGAGACAGCATAGCTGGCAGGCATGCTGGTCATCTGAGTGAGGGAAACACCTTACTGCTGCTGTTACATCCCTGTCCCCCAGCACTACAACTTCCCCAACAGACCCCCAGCATAGTGCAGAAAAAATTCTTACACTAAGCAGGTAACTGCTTTTAGTCTAATCGCTATCCTAACAACCTTCCTGACATGGTAGGACCTTCAGGAAAAATAGTTCCAGCCAGTGTAGAATTTTGGGTGATTGCGATATGCAAGCCCCGAGACCACCACGTCAAGGTAGCAGCTGTTGGTCGAGGTCGATCGATGAGGTTTATGAAGTTACGTCATTTGATGAAACGGATAGGACATTATGTTACGCATCCCTAGTCATCGCCTACCTCTACACAAAGGACAATGTTACCTAGCTGACATAGGATGGATCAGGTTAGAAAACAGCTAGTTAGTGGTGTGGTGGTCAAACCAAAACTTGGAATCAGTCCAGGAAATCTTTGACAGGTAATTAGAGCCAACCACGTAGGGAAGTGAAGACTGGAAGGTTGGGGTCTTTGGGATCCTAAGAACCAATGACTGGAGATATAGAAGTTAATTGGTGGATGGTGACTAGTAGTGGAATCCAATAGACTACAGCAGGTCGTCGGGTGTGAGGACAAATACCCGCCACCGAAGACATTGGCTAGTTAGTGGTCACACAATACTCACTGACTTTTAAGGAAAAATGAGTGTTTGGTTGCAGGATTTTATCATGATGAGTTAGCGTCGGTTAGAGAACCATTGGAAAATCAGCCATGGGGAGTGCTGGACAGTCAGCTATTTCTTCATAGCTTGGGACTCTTCATCAGTACGCACCCACCCATCCCACCAGGGTTCGAACCCAGGACCTTCTGGTTAAAAGGTGAGCTAGCTCGTAGACCATTAAGCCACTGGGGGGACCCGATGTCCCCTCATGATGAAATCCTGTAACCCATCAATTAAATCCATACAAACCAATACTTGAATAAAAAATGAGGGTTGTCAATGAGTGTCAATCAGTACAACATTTACTGCTAAAGCAAGTGTACTCAGTTGACCAGCTCCACAAATAGGGACTCTTTCTCTCTCTCTCTCTGTTTGACATATAATACACAGTGAACTATGATCAATAGTGGGGAATCCAAAGTATTGGGAAAATCAACTCACGACCCATTATTATTGCACCCACTTAAATGCACAGGACACAACCATAATGAATAACTTTAGACTCTTTAAAATGACAGATATTTCTCAAGTTCGAATATATATAACTCAAAAAATTTACATGCATTGAAGTGACGATGCCTATTTTCCCACTAACGATTCCCAGAAAATGGAAGAAAAATTAATATGTGTGTTATATTCATGATTACAACAACAGAAGTAGTTAGTAAATTTAATGCTACAACTTACTTGACTATGAAGATCCGTATTGAGTAGCATTAGTGCACAGACCAAAGTATGACATGCATCTATTACAAATTAGAAAAAAATAATAAGAGGAAGAATATGAATTTCGTAATACACAGAACAGGAGACAAACGCATAAACACACATAAGCGTGATGTATATATAAATATATATAAACAGAAAATGCCCCCATAAAAGACCTGCTATGTTTTAGAGTGGGTGAACTACGATTGTCTATTCCCATCGCCTTCCTCGACAATGGGTAATGTTAGCTGATATAAAGTCAGGTTGCAAAAGAGCTAGTTAGTGGTGGTCAAACCACAACATGGCTTCATCAGGCAATGAAATCCACAACAGTTAGTGTAAGCCAGTCAAGTAGGAAGGTGTAGACTGCCTGACTGGTTGGTGTCCTTGGGACGGTGAAAACCAGTGAGGGCTGGAGACAATTGATGTGGCTCAAAATCCTCGTTCTCAATGGCTGGTGCAGATGCATCCACTCCTTGTGACTTACAATATCCAATAAAACTATATTGTTCTTCCATATTACTATTCTTTAAGCCACATATCTCCGTTTACTGTCTCTAGTTTGCATTTCTTTTTACTTTCTCCTCTGGCTTTGTGTGGTACATGGAGGGAGTGTGGCGACTGGAACTGCTGCACATCGGTGCAGAGTTCTATGTTGAAATCAGTCAGTCATTTTAAATGCTCTCTCATGTGGCCACGCATTCATAGCCCACCTCCGCCAAATAAATCCTCATGAGGCGATAGGGGTGTGCCTTACAAAAAATTAAAAGGCTAATTCAAACATCTGGCGCTTATAACCGGATTGGTGCATACCCCGGTCTATTTAGGCAATTTAGAAAGCCTTGATTCTAAACCTGGATCGAATGGCGACGTATGAAACTGTTTTGGTTGCCAGAAACCATAGGAGCGCAGGTGCATTTATTTGTGCATCAGACTTCAAGCCAAAAGCTTCGGGGGCGGAAGCCGACCCTTAAGACGCGCACCTGCTTCGGGGTCTGGCCTTCCTGGCAGTATCCCTGCCCTCGCGCAAACTATGAGTTCTTGTGCGGCGCATCTCTTGGTGGTGGCCAATAATTTACCCAGTTTGTGATTTAATGACAATAATAACAATAATAGTATGACATGGAAGGTGTTCATATAAGTTCCGAGTAGGACATTGGGCTTTAACAGAATACCTTGACTTCAATCTACTCTCTGAAGTCCTTCTAGCTGAACGACAGTCCATAAACCTTCATTTCCTCTTCACAATACCTCCTCCATTTCACCCTCGGATACGCTGACGAGCTCATCGATTTTAAATTTGGGGTGAACTTGACGGTTTGCCTAGTGTATGATGTCAATCACCGGCCTTTTTAGTGTATGTCGAAGCGATCTCTATTTCCTTTTGTGTGTACTTGTTGGGCAATAGGCTCTTGATTGGTTCGTTGCTAGCCAGACTTCCTTGTTGCTTATCCCTTACTTCTGGCTGTCCAACGGATCTTCAAGTATCGAACCAGTGAAGGTAGCTGTTGGTTGTAAGTCTACAGTAGATTTCCGCACTGATTCTACCAGATTATTAATGAAGGTCTGTTTTACTTTTCCAATTCGATCTTGTTTGGCTGTGACAAAGACATCCGTTCCGCTTGTGGTCGGAACAATACTACCCAGATAAGTGAAAGAGGTGACCCTCCTTGACAGGGCTTCGTGTGCTTTTGGAAGTATGTGGGCGGTTTTTACTTCCTGGCTGCACACACCATGGAAGTTGATTGATTCTTCAGGCACCTGAAACAGAAAGAGGGTTAGTGTTGTGTGACCTCAGAGCCCAGGGGACAACTGCCTGAGGCAGGTCACACACGGCTTCTATGAACACGTCTCTTGGGTTGGTTCCGTATTAGTAAATTTACCACCAGTTACGGACCACCGTAGGTGGAGTGAGTCGGGATGTACAATTTTCGGGGTCGACCTTTTCTAAACACCTCTCTCTCCAGAGTGGAGAGACAGCTTAACTGGCCGGCATGCTGGTCATCTGAGGGAAACACCTTACTGCTGCTGTTACATCCCTGTTTCCCAGAAGTGCGACTTCACCCACAGACCCCTAGCATAGTGTAAAAAAAATCCTTACACTACGGCGATAACTGCTTTTAGTCTAATTGCTATCTTGAAAACCTTCCTGACATGGTAGGACCTGTAGGAACAATAATTTCAGCCAGTGTAGCTTGTTGGGTGACTGCGATATGCAAGCCCCGAGACCACCACGTCAAGGTAGCGGCTATCGGTTGGGCTTCTTGACAGTGATTGCTTCTGATAGTTGTTGTTGGTGGTAGTCGGTGGATATTTTCATCACCCCTGCTTTTCTCCTACGACCACTACTTGAAGTCTCCCTGTCTTCGCTGCCAGCGTTTCTTCTACAAAGTTGTTCATATTCGCCTGTGTAGATCTCCGAAGTGGTATGTGACAACATTAGATATAAATCATCATCTGCGATGTCCAGTTATTCCAGTGTCTTGTCGTCAGGACACACGCATACATGCTTGGGAATCTTTATTTCTGATTTCATCATCACGTGGCATCTGTCGGAGAACCATTGGAAAATCGACCACAGGAAGTACTGGACAACCAGTCCTTTCGTTCTGGTTTCAGACCCTTCATCAGCACGAAATCAGGAATTTCGGGCGTTACAAGGGTGCTGCTCGTAGACCATTTAGTCAATGAGACCCGATCGATCCAATGGTTCATGGAATCCTGGCAACCGATCAAACCCCCTTAAAAACAATACTCGAATATTAATCTAATGCTCACTAGCGGCCTGCTGTCCTATTCAGGAAGGCAGTTAGCTGGGTTCCAGTGGGATTTCGTGACCAGTAGGCTATAGCAGCTCATCGGGTGTGAGCAAAAATACTCACTGGACCAAGTCCCAGTGACTGAATGCTCTACAAGTTAGCTCGCCTTGTAACCGGAAGGCACTGAGGTGCGTAGTCCAGAAAGTTCTAAACTAGGACGAAACAACTGGCTATCCAATCCTCCCCATGGCTAGTTTTCCAATGGTTCCTTAATCGATATCAGCTCTAACCAATCACATACCTACAAACCAACACTTGAATCTTAATTCTACATTTTGCTTGTCTGAAATTGAATTCATTACTACCTCCACATTAACGTTGGAGGGTGGGGGAGAAGTAGATAAATGAGGATAAAGAGATTAGCTGTCCATTCTATCCCTCTTTTTTATGGCCTTTTCATAAATCAATAAATCAATTCATCAATCAATAACAACCAATGAATCAAAGACACTGGGAATGATGAATAAATCACAACACCTAATGACCGAATCGGCTGACTTAGCAGCTTATAACCACCATCACCCCCCCCCCCCTAGTTATTAGTAAACAAACTAACTATATAAATATAGATCGATAACCCTAATATTAAAAGTAAACAGACGGGAGATAGAATAGTACAATACAACGAAGAAGTAAAATGTGTAAGATATATATATTCAACGGGTTTATAAAGTAAACAAAAATATGAAAATATGTGCTGAAGGTGTTAGGCGGAAAATAGAAAACAGAAAATTGTTTCCCTTAGAAGTTGACCAATAAAGAAGAGCCTAGAAGATTAGGACATTGTGGATGATTTATGTGTCACACACACTACTACACAAACTCGGAAACCGACAAGTTGGCAAAAGAGACTAGCATCAAAGACAGGAACAAGTGGACATAGAGAAGACATAGAAGTGACGACGATGATACCCACTGACCACCATCAAACACTATCAATGAGGGGACAACATGGATAAGGGTGTTGAAACCCACCAGAGTCGAAAAAGCAAGGCAGAAATTCATCATTCTGAAAGCAGTGTGGAAAACTTCTGTACTTCGCAACAAAAAGAACAAAAATTCGAATTTTCAACACTAATGTTCAGTCAGTTGTTGTATATGGGTGAGGAACTTGACAAGCGCGTTACAGAAAGCATTTCGAAGTGCCTACAGATATTTATCAACAGTTGCCTTCACTGGCTTTATACTGAAGATCAGAAAGAATTACCGACGAGGAACTCTGACCGTCAAGGGACCAACCAAACAGCAACCTGAATGTCCAACATATATGCCACAAAAGATGAAGGTGGATCGGACGGACTGACTGACTGACTTCAACGTAGAACATTGCAGAGATGTGAACCAGTTCAACCTGCCACTCTCCCTACATCTGCCACACAACTCAAGAGAATAGAGTAGAGAGAGATTCAAAAGAAAGAGACAAAATAGGCAGAAATGTAGGTGAGGCGAAAAGGAATAGTAATGTGGAAGAACAACAGAAGCTCATTGGATATTGTAAATCACAAACAGTGAATGTATCTGCACCGGCCATTGACAACGAGGATTTTGAGTCATATCACCAATTGTCTCCATCCTTCATTGGTTTAGTTCTCACCATCCGAACAACCCCAACGAACAGCTCAAGTAGTCTACACCTCCCCACTTGACTATCTGGCTGTCTTAAACTAAGTGTTATGGATTTGACTGATTGATGAAGCCAGTCTGTGGGGAAGGCAATGGCCTGTTATGTATGCGTAGTCGTGTCCTAACCATCTCAATCGACGTAACTTCACAACCTCGTTGATTGATTTCCTCTTCCCTTCATTTAGCACTTAACCGATGTCTAGCCTCAATATTTCCCACCCTATTACACAACCAACTAAAACGGGAGATAGAACGCAGACACCCATGATCAAATACATCTAGGTAGCCTTTTCATGTCTTCCACTTTCAATGGGGCCATGTACTTTATCCGTTCTCTACCTACATATTTTTACTTGTTTATCTCAAATGTCGTTTTATTATTATTGTTATTGTGTGGCACATTTTCTTGCTGCCGTACTGTACCAAGATTTTTTGTGTTTAAATAATGTCAATCAAATAATGGCGCCTCAAACAGAACTTCAGCACTACTGAAGAGAATAATTCTCTATAAGTTGGTTTAGTGCAGACTGAATTCTATTATAAGTCAAATTGGTAATGTGGCCATCATTCTATGTGGCTCACTATCCCACTGCACTCTGAATTGTTGCTATGACATGGTTAGAGGTAATCAATCAGCAGTAAGTCCTACCATGATCTAGATTTTGTGCTTATTGCTGGCACCCCCATCGGTCAACAAAGGTGTAATTGCGTCGAAAATGTTGGTTGTCTAGCAGTATGTTGAAAGCGGTTTCACTAAGAGCTCATAAAATACAACCATATCAGATGTCAAAGTCAGAATCAGAAAGGCAAGATACGCACGCCTTCATCAACCTGAAACCAGTTTGGAAATCTTTTGAACTAACTCAACCAACATAAACAAGATTCGGATTTTCAACACCAATGTCAGGTCGGTCCTTCTATACGGGTCAGAAACTTGTACTGTGTGTCACGGAAAGGATTTCCAACAGGCCAATGCAGACTTTCATCAACAGCTGTCCCCTTCGCTAGCTCCACACTGACGATCAAATGGCCAGAAATAATTAGCAGCAAGAAACTCTAGCTGGCTGGGGACAAACCAACAGGCAAGAGCCGACTGCTCAACAAATATGTAGGGGAAAATGGAGATAGATAGGGCATACATTAAGGAGACCGTCGAATAACATCGCGTGCAATGCAGGCCATGGCTCGAATGGAATCACAGTGGGAAGCGACGAGTGGGTCATCACTGAGAGGGTGACATGTAGATGGTGTGGACAGTCAGAGGGGATGAGAGATTGTGGGCAGAAGATAGGACAAAGTGGAGATAATAATAATACTCGAATAATAATAATAATAATAATATCATAATACAAAAATCATTAAAGATGACTAACAATAACAATAATAATAATAATAATGAAATTGACTAACCTTCAGACGTATAAACATTTGGATTACAAGCATGAAAACGTCTTGAAAAGTGTAACAGGATACGTTCTCTTTCTTGTGATTCCCCAGTCAATGCAAAACTATTTAAAAATGTTCTCAAGGCCACGTCTAAACGTTGATTGGTAAAATTAAAAAAGCTTGCAAACTCTTCTCCAACAAGTTGACTAAAATCATTCCTGTATTCATAAGCATGCACCATCGCCACACAACCACCACAGAGGAAAAATCAATGAAAAGAAGAAGAAAAAAATCAATAAAATAAACAGTTTTTGTTATAAAATAAACAATGATATTAGAAGAAGAAGAAATAAAAATATTGTGCTAGAAACAATACTGTGCTGCTGTGTTTTTTCATAATTTTGTCACTACTAAGTTTGTGGCACCTGGTGTTTTTTTTGTTTTAATGCATGGACTGGACAATTCACTAATAGTTCTAGATATTTTGTCCAGAAATGATTCCCACTTTATTCATCTATATTAAGAGAGAAAATACCTTTTATTAGTAGACGAGAAGTCTTCCTGTGATAATCACAGAGAGATTAGCTTAACTAATAAGATACCTTACGTTCTACGCCCAATAATCATGCACAGACTAAGCGGTGCTCGAGGGGAACAAACGCCAGAAAACCAAACAGGCTTTAGACCAAGGAGAGGGTGTCTCAATTACACATATCTTCACTGTTCGACAAAATTCTCCAGCATAGGCACGCTTACCATCGGCGTCCTAAAAGCGGAACTCGATTCCGTCGACCGAGAGGTACTATGGCGATGTTTGTCTGTGAAGAGAATGCTGGGAAAATATATTGCACTGATCAAGGCACTCAATCCACTCGTACTCATGCAGCCGGCGCCAGCCAGGTGAGAGATTAGGGAGAGTTGTCATCTGATAACTGTGATGATAACCAGTGGTGTCCACAGTCAGGGATGCCAACCACTATCCCCATTTCTGTTTAATTTCATCATTGATGTACTCACTAATGGAGTTAACCCTAACTGCTTTCAGTGACTCAGGGATTGACTTGTTACCACAGTGGAATTCTCTCGTTGAATTAGAATAAGCAGTTGATATAGTCCTCCTTCTAGGTGAAGACGCTGACAAAATACAGAGTCTTCTGAACACCTTGAGGAGCAGCAGTCTTCGAATGTTTGGCACACGATTCCATCCCGTCAAACGTAAGATAATACTTGCTACAGGAATGGACTAAATTAAATTATAGGGAGGCAGTGAAGTGGTTGGTGAAGCGTGTTGACCACTTCACTTATTTTGAGAGTTGCATCAGCCAACACCAACGGGTTGGTCGCTGAAGAAATCTCTGCACAGATACAGAAGGCTCGTTTGGCATTTGCCCGCCAACTTATGCCATCTCTGGCTTAGTAGATGTGAATTTAGACAAAGCAATCGGATGACGTATTTGTCTGAATCGTGTAATGTATTTGCGCAACACATTTCGAGCAATCTGATCACACACGGACTTATCATAGGAGCACATATATATGAAATTAATAAAGAGGTAAGAGGTGAGAAAATAGACTACTTAGGTTAAAGGATATATTCAAGGTCAAAATAACAGTGAAGATCACTAAATCAAATAGCAGAGGTAATAGTACAAAACAAAATTTACCAAGGAAGATTTAATGTGATGACGAATTGTTGCTTTGAACACATAAAGGTGGTTCAAACTTTCTAATTGCCAACTAGGGCTTCCACAAACTTTAGGATTCGCCCTCACCCAAACACGTTTTATAGATAGGTTTAAAAGATGTGTTAACGTCAATTTTATGTCCTGTCTTATCTATAATATGTTTCGCAATAGAAGAGCTAGGTCTCCTGTTCTCACCATTAATAGGTTCTGAAGATTTTATTTGTTTCTGGAGCCATTTAGGTATATGCTTTGAAGCCAGCCCTTACTTGGAGAGATCGATGAGTCCTCCCTATGTATATGTGTGTGTCCACATTTACATTCAAATTGGTAAATACAGTGGGATGTGACATCAACTTTTCGCATGTTCGAAGGGCTTAGATGGCTTTACATTCTCTATTGTTATGATATTGGCTTCATACAAAGTCTTTTTGACAGCAGCATTCAGTCTTTGTCCAGTTATCAAGCTGTTTTGATGCCCCATATAGGGTAGCTTGGTGTATACGTCTTTCTTAGGGGTGAGTTGTAGAGTGGATTTTGGTGTTCTGACTACTTTATATCTCCTGACGAACTTGTCTGGATAACTGTTATCATCCAGAGTTTGTGTCAACTTTCTTTCTTCCTCATCAAGTGTATCTTCAGTGCATATTCGTTGGATTCTACTGAAGAGGCACCTTACTAAGGCTCTTTTGTACCGAGTAGGGCAGAAACTGTGGTAATTAAGATACTGTCCTGTCCAGGTAGGTTTTCTATAAATAGATCATTTTATTGACCCGACAAGCCGTCGACTAAGCAATATGTCTAGGAAAGATAAACAGTTATCTTCCTCTTCTACAGATGTAAGCGATATGCTATTCTGAACTTCATTCATTCGATATAAAATTGAGGTGGCAAAACAAGGCGCTTATCACTGATGATTACAATATCATCTACATACCTTCTATAAAGTGGCACATTTTCGATTAAATCCTCCGATAAATTCTCAATGTACGACATATAAATATCTGCTAAAAGGCGCCCTAACGGACTTCCCATAGCAACACCATCAACTTGGCGGAAAGAATCGCCTTCAAATGTAAACCTAACATTGTTAGTACATAGAAGTAATAAATCCCTTAGATAAGATATAGGGAACGGGATGAAAAATTGTTTGTGGAAATGTAATCACACAAAATGTCAACTGTTTTGAGCGAAGGCACATTAGTGAGTTTACATCAAATACATTACACACACGATTCAGACAAATTACGTCTTCTTATTGCTTTATCCAAATTCATAAAGGGAACTAATTGTTTTACATAGTATTCTGTTGCAAATGCACTAATGAAAGTGTGGGAATAGCATTCAGACGTTAACACCAACAAATATACAATGATTCTTGCCGTGAGAATATAATATTCCATTGGAAAACATTGTCTGTATCACACCACCACACTACCACCACTACTCCTACATGTTTGATCAGTAAAGCTTACACTTAAACGATTCACTGGTGAAATATTTTAATGTTTAGAAAATTTTACCACGAAATAGAAAAGACAGATCTATGTATACAGGAAATTTTCACTCAACCCCAACCCACCCCCCTCTCTCAACTATCATCGTCCTTAATCCCTACTCTATGCTAAAGTATGGTAATCCCTACTCGTATTTTGGCCCTACCAATGTTTTCGTTTTGTTTATTCAGTTTGTATACTCTTCCTTTATTACGTCAATTGTTACCATTATTATTCTCACTTCGACTTGTATCTTGTTCCTTTACGTTTGGATAATGTTATTAGAAGACGGAGCTTATCTGAAAAATGTGATGTATTAGAGCTATACATTTCGAACAATCTGATCCCTAACACATTTACTTGTCAAGTCGATATGTATGGAAATGTTAAATTAAACAAAGTGACAAAAAAGGATTTAAGAATGATTCCCACAACGTTTGGTAATTCAATCAAATAAGGATTACCAAGGTAGGTTAAGAGTAATAATAAACTGTTTTTGAATACGCGGGGGGGGGGGCTTAAGTTTATGAATAGCTATAGCCTCGGCGTATTTCAATAAGAGCCCTTGACCGTTTTTATAGATGACCTTAAAGGCTGAGTTAACATCAACCTTATGGTTCATCTCTATCAGGTGTTTAGCTATAGACGAAGTTGGTAGTCTGACATCTGCATATATTGGTTTTTCACAATTCATTTGTTTTTCTAGCCATTTTGGGGTATGCTCTCCCACCCTCACATGCAAAGCGCGATTACTCCTCCCTATGTATGTGTGACCACACACATACGAAAATTGGTAAGTAGTGTGGGATGTGACATAATCACTTGTGCACTTTTGAGGTTTTCAGTGAAGCATATTTTTAGCCTTTTCGACAATTACAAGCTGGGCTGCATAGTAGGTTCTACGGATGATGGAATTCAACCTTTGTCTCAAAATCCTACTATTTATTTCCCCGTTATATGGTAATTTGATGAAAACATTTTTCTTAGGGGTGGTATGGATTGTAGGTTTAGAGACTAATTGACTTCTACACCTGTTTAAAAATTCTAGAGGATATCCTTTAAGTTTCCAATGGAACATAAGGGGGCTTCAAGCTAGAGGCTTGAAGTTTCAATAGCAGTGGTGTTTATTTTTACCGGATGTGATTGTTAACCTCATGCCCAACCTTCCTTCTTTACCAGTCTTATTACTGGCTTAGTAAGATTAAGGAGTGCATCGGTGGCCGCGGATTGAACCTCACACCAGATGAGGTGTGGTTGGCGAGCATTCTACCACTGTGCCACCACCGATGCCACTTCGAATTGTCCGCGGTATTACTTCACTTGTTCCAACTTGTCATTCTAAATCAATTTTCATTCAGTCAGTTCCCCTTATTAGTTTGAATAAAGAAAGGATGAACATATTTACAGTTTTGATAATACGAGCTCGTTTTACTTTGCGAATCGATTCTCTCTCCTCAACTGCCTACATCCTGAATAAATCAATAATATATTACAAAATAGCGTCTGAACATAATTTTTACAATGATGTCAAGTTAGAGAGAGAGAGAGAGCGTATAAGCAACATAATTTCAAAGATGATGTAAGTAGACGAATTATTTAGTGTTAAAAGAGTGGTTACAACTTATGCATGTATAATTAAACAAGGTGGAGTGTTGGAATTCAGATTTCTCTAGCTCATACTCTCTATCTACAACACTTGAGATCATTGTAATAAGTATGTTCAGCAGCTGAAGAGAATCAATTCATGAAATAAAACGAGTCCGTATTATCAAAACTGTAAATATGTTCGTTCTATCTTTATTTAAATCAATTTTGTTTCGCAACCCTAAACTGCGTGTTGTCAAATCTCAGACAATGTTACGTAACCTTTTTATTCTTATTCTATTTGTCTACTAATCTTATATAATTCCACACCCCTTCCAAGTTCTATCCATCCTATGAATTATTCTATATATGACATTAACTGCTTTGCAACTTGACATTTAACTATGATAATAATCACAAATATTTCAATTGCAATTCATACTACTATTATTATTA